CTTTCTCCAAAATGCTGCTGTCAAAACCAATTGCTGATCCTCTGTCTCCTATCATGTGATCCCACAACCTTAAAATTCACTTCTTAAACCATTCCCTAAACAGCACACCCTTTAAAACCCTCAGGTCTCATTCCAATATTTCTGCACTGGCCTTCCACAATAACTCATTCACTCCTTCAACTCTGCCATTCCCTCGCTCCTCCGAAGGAACATTTAACGGAGGTCTGCTATCAAATGGCTCTGTCCATTCCCCCTTCATTTATTTATTTATTGCTACAAGTAATAAAGGAAAGAAGAGAAACAAAACAAAAAGGAGATAGGAATAAACTAAGAAACATGAATGCAACAGTACAATGATTAGTATGCAAAGATTAGGAAAATTATGACAACGACAAATGTAGAGAAATAGAAGAAGACAACAAAAAAAAGAATGAGAGACCTATTCCTCAAGATTCAAGAAATCAAGGAAAAGTTCAAACCTAGGACTGGGAACCTCTACGACAATAAAAATAACATAATTCAAGACCAGGAAAGAATAAAATGTGTTGGATGCAATACACAGAAGAACTATACAAAAGAGATGACAAAATGAAGGACACATGGAGAGAAGAGCCATATGAAGATGAACCCCAAATTCTAAAAACTGAAGTGGATGCTACAATAAAAGAAATGGCAAACAAACAAGACTCCAGGTACGGATGGTATACCAATAGAACTGTTGCAATCCACACTGACAGAATCAACTCTAGTGCTAACCAACATATGTCAAAAGATATGGAAAACAAAATGATGGACAACAGATTGGAAACGATCAATATACATCCCCATCCACAAAAAAGGAGACACAAGAGACTGCAGCAACTAGAGGACCATAGCACTAATCTCCTAAGCAAGCAAAATCACGCTCAAAATACTGCAACATAGACTCCAACCACACATGGAAAGAGAAATCCCAGAGGTCCAAGCAGGGTTCAGGAAAGGAAGAGGCACAAGGGACCACATTGCAAACATATGATAGCTAATGGATCGCACCAGGGAATTCCAAAATAAATCAGCATGTGCTTTATAGGTTACAGCAAATACGTTGACTCTATCAATCAAGAAAGGCTATGGAACGCCTTTAAAGACATGGGAGTGCCAACATATCTGATAGTCCTAATGAGGAATCATACTTGGGACAAGAGGCTACTGTCAGGACAGAACATGGAGAAACAAAATGGTTC